CGGGTTTTTTGTAAGGTGTTGTTCTCCATGAACATTTCAGTTTCACAATAGACGTTTATACACCATTCGATAGAGAATTTCAAGAGCTACATTTTGCACTATTTGTATTTCAAGACAGATAAAATCGACTTTTTGGCCTAATGTCCGCTTAGTTGCCCACTGTGCTTCAGACTTTCGGTGCTGTTACGATGTGCAATTTTTGAAATGTTAAAAACTTATTAACACTATACTTTTTCCGATTCATTTTCAGCATCTAGCACTTTAACATCAGCATCTTAGAGATCAGTCGTATTCATCTCAATTTTCGGTTGGTTTTCTCTCATCCTCATCGATTTCAAATAAATTTCTTTCTCGCCGAATTAAAAAGGTTGATTTTCTCAACAAAAACAAGTGAATTGTTGCCGAAAGTCTGTATTTTTGAAGAATTTTTGCCTTCTTCTCGAAATTCTATGTAATTTATTCTTCTTACGAGTAAGTTGTACAGATTTAAACTGTAAAAATAAGATTTTGCTATATAATTCGATAAGTTTAATCCAATCATGTCGAAAAAACCGGAAAAAAAAACTTTTGGTGTAGCTTTAACTTACGATTGCTGGCCCCTTATAAAAACATTCTTTTTATTGGCGAAAGTCAAATTATGATATGGAATATATTCATTTTCGGAAAAGTCGAATAAGACGTTTAGTTTTAGTAACAATAACAATAAAAGAAGTAGTCAAAGTATTTGAATTATTGAATGCTATCGGATTACATTGTGATATTATTGTTAATAAATTTTATACTGTACTGGAAGATAAACGGGAATATATGCGTCAATAAATATAAGAAGAATGTAACGAATGCCAATTGCAAAGTGTTGAGCATATATGAGTTATTAGGTCATTAAAATATTTAACAGTTTCTTGATTGGTTAGACATGGTTAAAAATTAAACACAATGCAAAATTTGAATTTTTAATTCGACTTTACACGTTTCTTTTTTGTTGTTGATGGTTTCTGTTCAATGGTTTTGTGAAAACAGGAAATTAATAATATTTGAGGTCACCTAAAAAAGTGTGCGAAATTTAGAACAGTAAACCATACTACATTAATTCATTTGACGGCTTGTCCAAACGTCACGGCGTTACGTTTTTGACGCACTAAACTTCGGTTATCTCGGAAATTTAAGTAACTAGAAAGGTCGTTCAAACGTCAATCGACGCAGTTCATCATGCTCTACTTATGCTGTGAAAACGAAGTTTTTCGGATGTTGTATTGGGCTTTGAGAAGGATTTTAGTGTCGCATCACGGCGTTACGAAAAAAGATCCTTTTTTTCGAGCGCTCTTGGGAATTCTTTAATTTCCTGTGAAGTTAATTATGTGGGAAACTTCTAGAGCAAAATTTATAGAGTAATTGACGGGCTATCCGATCGTAAAAAAAATTTCTTCTAGTGCTTTTCGCTAGGGAGAAAGATGCAAAATAAAAACGTCACGACGTTACGCACTTTTTTGTCAAGCATATTTGAGGCACTTAACACGATGGTAAAGTTTTGATTTTCACAGCTTCCTGTGTTCTTTGTATATCTGGTCGATCTGCGCAAAAATCAAGTTGCTGTATCAAAATAAGAGCTCAAAAACTGGATAGTAAGTCGGAAACTGTACAATTATGTACAAAGTGTACATAGCAAGTAAACTCAAAAACAAATACGCCATTTTGTAGAGAATTCAATTCTCTACAGAAGCATATTTTTAGAAATTTGTTTTAAAAAATGTTTTTGGTTAAAACATTAAAAATCCGTTTTCTGAAAAGTTCAAAACCAGGTTTTTTGGATGACAAATGAACTTTTTTGAAAAACGAGTTTCAAACGAGTTCTTAGAATAAAAAACTGCATCTAATCATGTGTTTAAAACTTTCGATATCGAAAAGAAATTTTTCAAAAAGTTGATCAGCGAAGTGTACCGTTACGCGGACAAGCCGTTAGGTGTACTGAATCATTGGTGGAGAGCCAAAATCAAAATTTAATAGAAAATCATCTGTTTTGTGTTTTATCTTCTACAGAAAAAATCTGTAAAGAACTTTAAACCTAGTCTAAATCAGTTCCAACTCAAATTATGTCACCTTGAATTTTTAAATTAAATCTCGCTGAAATGTGAATTTTTTTCCTAACGTTTCCATTTCTTCATAATCCGCTAAATACAGTATAAAAGTGATTTTATATTTTGATCATGAAATTAGACCAAAATTTCATATGATTTTTTCAAAAATCCGTGAGAAATTTTTTGACAAGTTTAGGACCGTGATGTTTCAACGCAGTTTTAAAAGCCTCGGCCGCCAGCAGTACAAATGAATAAATTACTGATTACTGCGGTTTCCCATAGTGGTTTGTCAGCGGTGTTGTCCGTGAACATCGAGGTCTTTCAAACAGCACAATAGTTAGTTGAAACATCGCAATTGCTTTTCAGATGCGAGTTTTGGGAAACCACGGTTACCAACGGTATGCAAAAAAACCTAAAATGTAATTTCTTCACATTCATGTGGGGTCATCCGCGGTTGTCGGTGCTCTGGCATCTGTACGATCTTATTTTTGCGGTGCGACCCTATCTCCGGACCTGTCAGCGTTCTTTTTCAAATGTTTAGTAAGCGAGGAAACTTGTTAAGTGTTTCCCGCGTCCTCGGCAAGTAATCGGATACTTGTAATCGACCACATATATAAAGATTTTATTCAACGTATATCTGGAGAGTGGATATGCATTAAATAAAATCTCACATTCACCGTGGTTAGAAGTGCCATCGTTCTTAACAACTGGTTACTGAATGTTGATGTTTTTCATGTAGTTACATTTCCATTAACAAGTATATTCTAATATTCCACAGATGCGTTAATTCAACATTTATAGAATTTTTTCTCTAGTTTCATATTTCTTTTTGCATGACTTCGTTTACTGGTTTTTTGAACACAATAATTACCACATGACTGACCACTTCGAAGAAAAAAAAGAAAATGGTTTATGAAAGATGACAAGAAGACGAGTATGGAGAAATAGAAAGAGAAAGAAAAATGGAAAAAAAATGATTACACTGGCATATATTTGAATTTTAAATTATGTGTTTTTTTTTCTTTTGTTTAAATTCCTTACTTATAAGTAGATTAAATTTCCGTTAGTATAAAAACATTAATTCAAATGACATATGAACCATCTGTTCAAAATTTAACATTTGATGCTTCTAACGGGGAAATACTGTTAGTTGAAACAACAACTAAAAATAATTTGGTTCGACGATGGATTTTAGCAATGTTCATTGGTTCCGTACCAATTCTAACTATTTTATTTCTTTGGATTTTAACATCGATCGTCATCAATAATGTTGTCAGATATTATTACAAGAAGAAAGCGTGTCGTGAACGTAACAAAGAAACTACTATCGAAAATCAACTGCTATCTACCGCTGAAACAATGACAGAATTGATGCCTAATAGTAGATTTGCATGTACTCAAGTTTAATCAACTTCAACATATACATCATACACAATATTAAACCAACTAATAGGCTAAAAACATTAGTTTAAAAATGCAATGTACAGTAAGTTTTATCTCTAATTTCATACGTACGATGTGTCCTATCTTCACTCTGACAATGAAATAATCACACAAGATTGCGTGTCAGGAACATGCCAAAATAAAAATTTAATTTTATAGACTGAAAACTTTTTCTGAAAAAAGCTCCTTACTAACCCATCCATCATCATCATTTGAACTGATAACCAATTCAACTGGTCATGAGTAGAAAAGCATGTGCAGTGTCATGCGACGTTTCTTAGCACAGTGAAAGGTATGTGTTGATGCACGAAACTTTTTTCGACAATATTCACCCGATGACTACTGACTGACAGAAGAATCAGGTTATTGTTCTTCAAGGAGGAATCCTGAATTAACAGACAACAAAACAGAGTTTCTCTAAGTTTACGAAAATTTGATCTGAAATCAAGTTGACATCTCAGACCTTAGCTTTCAAAGATCAAGTTCAGTATAGATATTCCACTCATGACCAGTTGAACACTTTCGCGTTCTGGTAGTGCTTGAGCGTAAAATATGGTGATGATAAAGTACAGATATACTGAAAATGAATTAGAACGCGTTAAACAGCATGCGCAATAATTGGTAAGCTTTTAACGAAAGACATTTGTAAAAATAACGTAAAATACGAATACAGAGAATTCATAAGATTTCTGTCAGCATAACCTAAACATTCCTTCATATTTTTTAGATTATATTACTGATAAATTGTGAAAATCATCTAATGTAAACAAGTAAAGAACAAGGAGAAATGATTTTATCTATTGAACGAAGAAAAGTATCAACGATGTGTGCTCTGATTTGTTTTCAGTTTTTTACTTATCATATTAATTTGTGTTTATAGACTGAAAATATGTATAGTCAACGAAAAATCAGCGATCTATATTGAATAAAATTATTTGTGAACAATCCAAATATGTTATGTAATACATTAGAAAAAAATAACTTAATATGATTGTCAACGGAGAATCCAAGTCCAAGTTTTCTATTAATCATGTTGTTTCATTCTGTGAGTCAAGGATATTTATAGCAACTACGAGCACGTTCAAATCAAAATCTGAGATGAACACGGAATAGAGTCCGTCCAGTTTTCTATAATAAATACACAAACATCCAGCTGTGAACTACGACTACACACGCCGAACACAAAAATTCCAAAATGTTTTATTCAAATTAGTTCAGAATGGATATTTCGCATCCAAACAGATTCTTCAACTCAATTATCAGTTTATGAGCAACTTGCAAAACAACTACAACTGCTGGCTTTTCTCATAGGCTACTGTTAACATTTGGATCGCATCCATAAAAACATTCATAACTCAATCCGGTACATTAATCTAATCGAAAAATTTCAAAAGCCTCGGTCTGTTCACATTACTGATCTCAATTAACTTTCAACCAATTAATATCCTTAATTCTGACTTAAGCAGCGGTAGTCCGAGACCTCCAAGATTGATTTTTTGTTCAGAGCTAGTATGAAATTTTTTATGTATGTCATGTTCCATATAAATAAGCGACTGGCATAATGATGAATTTTTCAATTATTGAGAGAGGGGTCACTCGTCGGACCTCCTACCGCTCGGACCAACTGTGGGCTTAAGTCATGTTTTACCAATCAGAATCGTTAACGTTCTTTTACTTCTGTAGTCTAAGCGTGGTCTTCTTCTCTCAAAAAGATGCATATTCAAATTCTGCATCGCTGATTATCTTGTGCACAACAAATTTAAAACTTGAGTTACGATTTGACTTATGTAGTCAAATCTTAACGTAACAAAGGTCATACATTAAAAGTTGATACAACCGAATCGGCAATAATCATTAGCGATCATTAGTGATGTAAACATCGCTAATGATAAGAATCAAACAATCAAACCATATGCTTCCTTAAGTACTGTAACGAAGATACCAGATGAAGATGAAGTTTTATTTTCAACTGGCGCAATATGGTTTATTGATTCTATTAAAAAACATGATATGTGGTATGTAAAATTGCATTTAATCAATAAAGAGAATATGATCTATCTGCTATCTACAATAATATGGGTATCGTACATTATAAACAACAAAAATATCATGATGCTTTAGAATATTTTGATAAAGTAATTACAACGGGTCTTCAGCTGCTGTCACCTGATCATCGAAGGATTAAAGATTAAGTTCATAACAAATCTGAGCTTTCACAAGTGACTAATGGAAGAGACCCAAAGAACGAAAAACGTAAAACCTTTTAATAACTATATATTTTGTTTTGTATGATGACGTGACAAGATGCCAAATGTTTACGTACATGAATAAAGCGTGCTACGTAAGGTTTTACTTATGTGGCATCGGATTTTTCAGAAGTATGCTCATTTTTGGATCAAAAAAATTCGTGATAAGCAATGAAAACTGAGCTGAATCTCGTATTCTTTATTGAGTTTCGAAAATGCATGAGAAAAAACACAAGATCAAATGGAGCCATCAAATGAGACGATGTAAACATTTTTTCCTCATTCCAACTCAAAACATCGATTTTAAAAAGAATTAGAACAAATCAGAGCTCTGAAAATAACCTTAATTCGGTGGAATATTTGCCACGTATCTCTGCAAAGAAAACGAAATTCAAAAATCGCTACGGACAAAATTTAGATAAATCTCTTAGCTTCAAAATCAAACGAGAACGAAGGTTGTACGATGACTCGTCTATGAGGGGATACAATTTTGCTCTGCTAAAACCATGTTCTGAGAAAAACGTTAAACAAGATTGAAGAGCATAGTGACACCAGATCTAAGGTTTAACATAGGAGTGTGATACATATATATGAACCCAAAAAAAAGTCTTTCTTTTACTCAAAGAGTTATTTGATCGATAGAAAACCTGATGAATATCTGACAAAAATAGCAGATATTATGATTAGGGAATAGTACACTAAGTAAACATCTTTATTACTCAAAATTACGCGATTTTTTATCCACGATAACTAAGGAAAAATAGCTAAAAAATGACTGAAAACCGAAGGGGCTAACAGAAAACCTCTCGAAACCTCATGAAAAAATAGTCCTTTTGTAAAAAGCGATACATATTCTGAAAGATGAGGCTTTGGCCTATCTAGCTGAACAATAAACTCAATTTCACGCTGGATTAATGCTTTTTCTGCGTTTTTTGGACGTCCACGTTTTTTGCTAACACTTGTAAGTTAATATTATACCACTAACGGGGCTCGGAACACGCGTTATGTCAGCTCTTTTGTCATGATTATGTGTATCACTTGTCGACACAATTATTTCATTTTGAGAATTAAACAATACATGAACTCTTGAAAACTACATTCTGGATATTTTCTAAATGACGAACAACCATATGTAACTTTAATGCCATCTTTTACATTTTCCGTTCGAAATTTTGATACTTTGTTATAATTTAAATAAACATCCAAATCGTCATTTTTGTAAAAGATTTTTAACAAAACTCCAAACTTTGACAAAAATGTCAAAAGGTTTTTTAGTGTACGGAACATAGCAAACTGGGCATTAAAAACAAGTCGTTTTTAAAAGATATTCGATTATTCAACTAGCTATGTAGATATCACAGATTTAAAAAAAATAAAACTGGTTTTTTAAATCCAGTTTGACATGGAGAACCAGAAAAAATTAAATTCAAATTTTTCTTTAGCTGAACTTGTTGTTGATCCATTGGTTTGTCTCGAACTAGTCAAAAAACTTTAGTAAATTGTTGAAATTTCATTTTAGAATTATTTTGGACTTTAAAATAAAAATGAAAGTAATTTTGTTATATAACTCAATCAGCTCTATCGATCTATGTATCGAAAACGCAAAAAGAATTTGGGGCCATTTTTGCACATCTGACCCTGAATAATTCGCGTAATTTCTCTATTTCTACGTTTTAAACAATAAATATTGTTAAACATAGTTATTTTCATTGAGTTATACACAGTATATTCACTTTCAGTTATCTAAATTGTTGACTTGCACTTTCTGTAAAAAAATTTATTGATTTTATATAAACAAAAAAATTGCTTTTTCTCTGTGTACACGTGTTTGTGTGACAAACAGACAATAAATAGAAGAAAAAATTGTACAAACAAGAGTGCAGTATGTGCATGTACATGAGTTGGATCTCTCTCTTTACTGTTACATCAGAAAACACACACACACAAGACGTATGAAAAATTTGGATAAGGTATGCTGTCACTCCATCGTCGTCGTCCACATCATCACAAAAACACAAACAAGAGTTAGAAAATAGAAGAGTAAACTCGGTCGATATTGGAATGAAAAGAAGAAATTGAACGGGTTCATAGCACCAGTTGAATATATATATATATATATATATAGTGAGAAAACATAAACAGAAAAAAAGGAGAATATGGACGCAATAAAATAATAATAAAAATATGTATATTCAAGAGAATAATTATCTTGAGTCAATAGATGTTTTTCTTATTTGACTATTTGAATGTGGTTGTTGTTGACGATATAGATTTAACCACTGATCAAGTAAATTTTGGATGAGAGATGGACGCTTACCTAAACAAAGGGAATAGTTTAATTTTCGGTTTATGATTTCTTATTTCATTTCACGATAAAGAAAAAATGTTAACATACCAACTCTCTGTTGTGCAACCAACGTCTGTCCAATCCAACAACAATCCAGCCACTGTTTCAAAATTGTTTGCTCATGACCAATCTACGTAAAAAAGATAGATTAGGATCTTGATATCAACTTTTCTCTTCATTTACCTCCGATGGTGCCAGGAAATGAACTGGCAATAAATTTCCATCACTATCCATCAATGGATGATAAAATGTTTGTACATCACTGTTCTCATTTGAATTCATTGAATGTCGATTTGTAGAAAGAGACGGTGGTGGTGACGAGGATGGTGATGAATGATGTGATGATGTGGGATTTGCTGGTGTTAAGAGGGAATTATTATCGATATATGTTGACAAGAGTGTTAATGTTGAAGAAGAGGATGATTGAATGGCAGCTGCCGCTTGCATTGGACTCTTATTTACATGTTCCTGCATCGGTACTAAAGCTGAGAAATGATTACGTGTGTAACCAAGACATATGGGCGATTTAAAACAAAAGTTTGGTTCCCATAACAATGGCAAATAAACTCCTAAATGAGAAATAAATTCATTTCCATAATATGCATACTCTATCAAACACTTTATCTTACCTTGAAATCTTGCCAAACCAATATTATATTCTCCACGATAGGATTTCACATAGGTAACGCCATAAACAATAATTGGACGACGTAGAACATGTGAGAGCGCAAAAATATGAGCATGTTCCAACGATTCACCTGGTTGATTTGCTAACGATAATACGAGATTCCAGTCACTTCTCAACTGATAATCATCTGGACGATAGTGATGTTTTTCCGCCACCATTTGTTCATATTCACGCCAACGTTCAAAAAATCTGATTATAAGATGAATAACAATGAACACTTTTAATGAGTCTGTACAATATTACATACTTTGTTGAACCATCTTCAAGACTTTCGGCCATTGCTCGCCTTAAGCTATTTTCTGTATCAAATACACCTAAACATACTTGTAATACACTATCGAGTAAACAATCGCCTAAAAACAAGAAAAAGTAAACAATATATAAAACAAACATCGGCAGTATAAACTCTTCCTAACCATTATTACGATTCCATAATGCGTATAAACGAGAGTGAAGGCGATTAGCTATATCCCCGTTCCAATTAATTATACTATTATCAATTTCAAGTTCTAAAAGAATAAAAAAGGAATCATATATAAAACGGGCCAATTCTTCGAGCTGAAAATAATTACCTTGTTGAACATTTTTATCTAAAAGATCTTCGAAAACTTGATCTTGTACACGCTGAGGAAAAATTCCAATTTCTGAAACACAAAAACATCTATTAGAGAAGAATCACACAAGCTAAGTTATCTAAATATTTGCAGCGATATATGGCTGCGAACTCACCAGCAGGTAATGTGAATGTAAAACATTCTGTTAAGTAATCACATTGAAATTCACTTGTTTTTTTCAATCTCAAAAATGTACGAAATTGTCGTTGTGTTAATTCAATTAGTGTCGGACAGATATTCGCTGGCACGTGCCTCATTCTCTGTTGTTGCTGTTGTTGTTTCTTCATTGTTTGTCGGATGAGTTGTTGCTGTTGCTGTTTAAATTGTAATACAACATTTTCTAATGCTTGATACTGTTCTAATTGTCCTGTTAGAAATGCTAATTGTTTCAGTGTTTGACCAATACAATCAATATAACCAATATTTTTGATATTTAATAATTTGATATCATCTAGAGTTAATTGTCTTAATGGATCACAACCGTATGCCAAATATTCGGCAACAACTTGTAATGGACCTCCGTCTAATAGAGTCTGACATGCTTTCAACCATAAACGTTCGGTCGGTAAGGTAGCTGATATTAGAGAACTTTTTTTCATTGTTTGTTGTGGCTGTGGATGTTGTATTGTGCGTTTTTCTTTTCGATCAAAGGCGATGTTTTCCATTGATTTATTAATGGCATTCATACGCTGTTCTTCGTCGGTTGTATGGCCACACGTGGATGAAGAGGACGAGGAAGCGGATGCTGACAAATTGTTTGCACGCAGATGTAAACACATGACACATTTTTTTGACGATGGATAATCTGCAATTAAAATAAAAAGATTCAGTATGAAAGTTTCGTGTTAAATCTTTTTCTCGAGTCGATGAGAGAAGGAAGATTATCTAATCATCCAACGAAAAAAATGAGAAAAACTTACTTTCGTATGTACACTTTTTACATATCCATTTTCTCAAACGTTGCGCAATTATTTTTGAGTCTGATAGTATGTTTGCTGTTGGTAGTGGAGTATGGGGTGGTGATATCCGATCATTATCGTTTGTTGGTGAAGAACGTTGTACTTGTTGTGGTGCTGGTGTTGCAGTACTACGTATTGAATGACATTGTATACATTTCATCGATTTTGGATAATTTAAATATGTACAAACTTGACATGACCATTTTTCAACCGAATCAATATAAGATGTAATCGGTTGTTCAGATGAATTCAGTTGATAAATATCGGATGAAGCAATTAATTCATTTTCATCAAGAGGACATTCTACACGACACATAGTACATCTCTCCGACGATAGAAAATTCGCGTAGGTACAAAATGGACAATTCCATTTTTCTATTACAATAACCGCTTCATTTTCGTTAATATCATCTGATTGTCTTTTATCCTTTTCGATTTCTTCATCTATATTGTTAACATTCATCTAAATATAATGCAAGATTACTCATAATTTACAACCTTAGAAGTTCCCGTTTGTCAGGTAGATAGTGAAGGATAGATTCATTCATAATAATTATGCGGCAGACTAAAAGAGCGTCTTTTTATGTTTCCACATCGCTTTCAAACATTGCCAATAATTGTGTTAGATGTGAATATATCTTTCTTGCTGCACTACTTCTTAGTCAGCTTAAATTTACAGATTTATTTCTGACTTATTCTTCAAATTTCAAAAGTTATTATGCAATCAGCAACATTTGACTTACTTTTTCTCATAAAATAATAATCGTTTGTTACACATCAGCACCTTTACTTTATTTCAAAACTGTTGTGAAGAAAAATTGAAAATACTTAAATAGTATAAATACATATAACATAAAAATCTGAAATCAAAAAGAACAGATAAAATATATATGTTTATTTACAATTAATGAACAAAATAATGTATTTTAATAATATGCGAAACTCTTTATGGGCTTCTTAAAATGTGATTTTTAGTTTTTCTACAACTTAATGCTTTCGTGTATGGTCACCAGGGTTAAGATACATTATGCGTATAAGTTAGACACAAAATGCTAGTGTCAACGTGAAATCACATGATTCTTCATCCTTTATGCCTAGTGTATGCGATCAGCAACATGACTATCAACCACTAATTAAATATTTGAACACACAAACAAACAGTGATAATCACATGAGGTCCATATGGTATTTCGTTTTCATTACTTGTTTATTTATTCCTGAGACAAGTATGTAGTGAGTAAGCAGCGGAAATCAAACTTTAATTTCATTGCTGGCATGAAAAGGAATAACCTGATCGAATCATAGATGTCGATAGATACCATCACTAGCAGTTGAATGATTTCTACATTGATAAACAGCTAGCATTTTTATCTTTAAAGTACATAATCTGTTTGTCCGATAGGGCGAGTTCCTGCAGTATTGAATACTTTCTTAAAAAGAACTTCATTTTTATTTTCGTTGAAAAGTAAACAATATTAAACCAGTTTCAACTTTAGAAGTTAAATGGCACACAATGTTCACCAGGATTGTCAATTTTGGAAGTCAGAAAAGAGGAAAAATAACGAAAAGCATTTTTTTCACTTCTCGATACGCTTGTAAAGGAAAAAACCATTAGCCATAATAAAGATGCATTTTGAAATCAACAGATTCATAAAGGGTGATGATACACTTTACGTGAATTAATTCATTCACTCATTCATTTACTTTATAGATGCACTAATAGAAAGTAGAGTTGATTCCATATCAAAGGTAATTACATTCAAACACGGAAGGAAAAATAGAAAAATCGAGAATAAAACGCGTCACTTTATGTTTGCCATAAAAAACTTCAAATGATAAATTTCTACATCAGTGCGTATTTCAATTCTAGTTTTTAGGGAAAATAAATTGATCCTGCGATATATACGACATGCAAAAACGTGATGTATCGAACATTCTAAAGCTTTTTTGATAGATCCTGCAAACTAAAAGTTGGTCACTGCCACGAAAGAATGCACCTTTACTAAGACAGAATACTTCTGCTTCTTTTCGAGTTTAAATTTATCGTCTATTTGACGATACGCTGTTTAAAACTATTGTCATATTATTTTGTGCTTAATTCGTTATTGAAAGTTTTGCTCTTCGTTATATTTTTGCTCATTTTTCTTTATTTGACCTCACAGTAATATTTTGTTTTCGAAGACTTGAAAATAAATTTCCTACTTCTTACACGTATTATTAACAAAACATATAGAGCACCCACAACCTTTCACACATTAGAAGTATCTTAGTTCGACAATTTCTTATTTTTTCATTGATGTACAGTTTACAAAACGAAAAACAAATAACAAAACTTGAGAGCTTTTTTGTGTTATTATTTGCCATCACTGTAAAAATCTTGATAATTAATCAAATAGACCAAAACCTAAAACAAACGGATTAGATGGAGAAGATAATAAACGTATAAGATATCTAGGAACTTACCACCGAGATCTTCATCGTCCGATTCTTCTTTCTTTTCTTCTTTCTTTGGTGGTGCTGCTTCTTTCTTCTTGTCACCTCCAGCGGCCGCTGCTGTTGTTGCAGCTGGAGCTGCTGACGGTGCTGCGCTACCCGCACTCGGCATACTTGATAATTTTTTCATACCGTCTTCGATCAATTGATTTAAATCTTTATTTTTGCATGCATCAATTACTTTTTTCGCTTTAGCTTCATCGCACTCAATGCCAACACTTCCCAATATTTTCGATATTGTTTTAACATCTACATTTTTCTCACCTGACAATGTTGCTAATACGTAGGCCGCAGCGTAACGCATTTTTTTTGACGAAGAATATCTAAAGGCAAAAATAACATTTTTGTTAACGTGATGTATAATAGTAAATGAAATTTATTTTCATCCTTCACTTATATCCTATAGATTTGTACAAAGTGCGCTGATTAGAACTTACTTCTAAATAGAGATTCTCAGAGAAATTATAGAGAAATGAATGAAAACAATTGTAAAGCGTACTTTGCGATTCTGTAATTATAAAAAACAGTTGCGTCCACCAATACCGAACCGTTTGTGGAGACTTATTAGGGGAAATATTTTTCTATAAAGCATCACATTTGAAATGTAGCATGCGAGCGCCAATGATAAAATCAGTTTAAGACTTAATTAAGTTTATTAAAAATGGTCTCATTCTTCTTAAAAAGCCCGTAGAATAAGAAGTCGACATTTCCATTCCTCAGAAAAATCTATAGTTATAACTATTTAGGCAATTAGAAGGATGAATTACGAAATCACAGTTGTTTGCCATATCGAAAGATTCCGTCTTTTACGATTCTAACAAATTATCCTACCAAAACCTCTTCTTATTTATTGGGTTCTTATGTTCAATTTTTCATAAGTTTCATAAGCATTTTCCAGTCATATTGAAAGAACATGGATTTAATATCATTCAAGACAGTTTTGTTTTATGGAAGTGCATTTTTGCTTTGATTAATGTTAACAACTATTGGCTGGTGTATTTGAAATGTATCTAGACCAATCATAGCAACGAACTGTTTTTCAGTACAAAGGAATGTGTTATTCATTTCTGAAAATTGACGATTGTCATTGTAGTGTTTGTTAGCCTAGTTATTTTAAACTAAACGTTTTTTACTTAGCACTCATTTATGTTTTTATTTTTAGAAAAGATTTTGTTCCATTTATCAGACGTGCAGAAACTACTTATTTTTAATCATCTATCTAGTGATAGAATTAAGAAATTTTAATATCACATCTAGAAAAGAAGGTAAACATAACGTTCTTCTAAAACAAAACTAACATAACGGAACAAAAGTACTGAGGTTTTTTCCAATTACCAAAGGTTTATAAAAAAAATCGAGTTTTTTTCACTATCTTTTTCGAAAATTCGACAGATTTTGAATCTCTACCATTCATACGCATTATTTTCACACAACAAGCAGAATTATTCGTTCTTTCTTATCTATAGATGATGTTATTAACGTAGTTCTTTACTTCTAATAAAACAATTAACAATCGAATAGCAATCAATTGTATACTTTCAAACGTACACACGCAAAACTGGCGTCTCCAGTGGAAATGGAAATGAATCAAGGTATGTTGAACTGTCACTCGTGATCGTCTTTATAGCAACTAGTATAACATTCTTTGCTTTCTCTGCAGATGGAGAATGCTTTGAATGGTCTCCATCACAAGTCAAAGGTCCTGTCGACGATGAAGTACAAGATGGTATGTTATTTCACTATTAATTTATATTGGGTTTGCGAAATCGATCTTTTCTTCTTAATTTAGCTGATTTGATATCCACAATAGAATTTAATGAAGATGGTTCGTTATTAGGCGTGGGAGATAAAGGAGGACGAATTGTTGTGTTTCAACGTGAACAAGCGGTACGAGAGAAGATTTTTCAGGATTTTTTTTCAAATTTCATACTTTTAACTCACTTTTAGAGCAAAACATCACCAAAACGAAACGAATACAATGTTTATATAACATTTCACAGTCACGAACCTGAATTTGATTATTTAAAAAGTTTAGAAATTGAAGAAAAAATTAATCAGATACGTTGGTTAAAACGAAAAAATGCAGCACATTTTCTTTTATCAACCAATGGTAAGTTACCTATCTATCTTTCAAAATATTTTGATGAAAGTTGTGTCTAAAGTCATCTCTTCTACATTGTGTTTGATTTTGATTTTCTAGACAAGACTATTAAATTGTGGAAAATTTCTGAAAAAACAAAACGTGCTGAAGGTTATAATTTACGTGATGATAACGGTATTATACGTCCAGCAAGTACAATAACAAATTTACGTATACCATTTATTCGACCGATGGAATTGATGGTCGAAGCAACACCAAAACGTGTATTTTCAAATGCTCACACATATCACATTAATTCAATATCATTAAACAGTGATCAAGAAACATTTTTATCAGCGGATGATTTAAGGATCAACCTATGGCATACAGAAGTTACAGATCAAAGTTTTAGTATCCTTTATTTAACAATTATTTTATATCAGTTGTCAGTAGGCTACCTAGTTATCTGGCCATCTTTATCCTCTATCTTAGTGGTCATGAGTATTCATCAATCTGCTAGCTTAGAACTCGTCTAATGAGAAATCTTGCGCAATAACTTTTCTAGATTGAGTTGACGATGGCTTGTTTTTAATAAATATATCTCTGATTCCTATTTATATTACCTTAATTCGATGTTTAATCACAGATATTGTTGATATTAAACCACCGAACATGGAAGATCTAACAGAAGTGATAACGGGAGCTGAATTTCATCCGAGGGAATGTAATTTATTTGTATATAGCAGTTCACGTGGTATTGTACGGTTATGTGATATGAGACAGTCAGCATTATGCGATCGACATTGTAAAGGTTTGTATATTTATTTTTAGCATTATTTGTTACAATGAATAATAATGACATCTTTTTGTCTGTCTATTTAGTGTACGAAGAACCAGAAGACCCCGCCACACGTAGTTTCTTTTCAGAAATTATATCAAGCATTAGTGATATTAAATTTAATCATTCAGGTCGCTACATGTTAACCAGGGATTTTTTAAATTTAAAAGTTTGGGATTTACAAATGGACTCTAAACCAGTTGAAACGTACCCAATACACGAATATTTAAGAACAAAATTGTGTGTATTGTATGAAAACGACTGTATATTTGATAAGTTTGAATGTTGCTGGAGTCCTAAAGATGAGTAAGTATTAAATTTTAGTTATTAAGTTAATTAACGGATCAAATTCCTTAGGATAATAGAGCTGGAAGAAACTTTCTCTACAAACTAGCAGTATCAGCATGTGTCTAACCTATAAAAGACAAACCAATATCACATCCATGATGAGCATCAAAAAATTATCTATCTATCTTGCATACATAATATATAGTAAAAAAATATTGTTTTATGTTTGCAAATGATTCTGACTAAATATTCAATTTTAACTACAATTGTTTTTGTTTTTCTGTTTTTAGTCATTTATTAACTGGTTCCTATCATAATTTATTCAAAGTAACATCACGTCAAACACGTCGAGATATTTTATTTGAATCATCTCGTGAACAAGCAATACGTCCAAAACAATTATTAAAACCGAAAAAAGTTTTATTAAATGCAAAACGTAATAAAAAAGATGAAATTAATCCAGACAGTTTAGAATTTTCAAAAAAAATTTTACATTGCGCCTACCATCCGATTGACAATATCATAGCAATAGCTACCGCACATAATTTATTCACTTATACAGCAAAAGACTCCTGACTCTAATTATAAATTGAAAACTTTTAAACTTTGACAAACTGGGCTGGAACCAGTAAAAATTAGATTTCCTAGAACAAAAAAAATCTATCTGTTTGTTTTTCTCATTTTTGAAATGAGCATGTGTGTGTTAAATGTGTGTGTTTCTTTTTTTTCCTTCTTTCGTTTGTTTGTTTGTTCGTTCATTTTCTGACTATGCACATGATTCTTCTATTTTAAAATCAGCACCAACACAATGCATAATGACACAATCATTTTAGTCATTTCCTTTCCAAATATCTTACGGTGAATTGTACTTGTGATCCCATCAAGCTAGTGCAGATTAATTCTGAAAACGACACTTCATTAGCATACGTAACTTATGTTTTATCCAAAGTGTTCGTGCTAAGTGAGTAAAGTCAGCATTCACCACATTAGCAATTTTATGTGACCAGTCCTTATAACTCGCTTTCCGTCCAGTTCTATTAATAAAACGGTGAGAGAAATAATTCAGTTGCGTGGAAGAACATTTTTGAGTTGTTTTGTATGATGGGCAATAACTTCCAAATAAATATGACAGTTAATGCAGCTGTTCTAATTGCTAACATGATCTGTTTTGTTGTATTGACTAATTTTCGATCTTAATGGTCATTATCAAGTCTCTTTAATATGTGTTTAATTAAACAACAAAAAAGATCATGTTGTCAATTAGAACAGCTGCATTAGCTCTCATGTTTACATACTTGAGAGTTCGACAGCGTGTCTTAATTGGAGACTTATTCTAAATTTTTTGAAAAAAATAAATCTATTGCATCCACTGTACAGCGAGTGTTATTATCTCTGGTTTTCTTTTTTTGTTGTTGTTTTAGAACTCGGTGATCACGTTACTATTTTTTGTTTCATTCAAGATCAAAAAAATTATTTGGCTTTTCAGAAATGTAATCTTATTTAACTTTTCTCTCTTTTCCTTTGTTGTGTGTGTAGTTCGTTTTCAGATGGAGGGCTGGTCCAGTGAGAGAAAATATATGAAAAAAATGTTCACCATCTTTATTTTTATTAATTTAAATATAAAGTTCTACACTTCGATTCCTTTCATTGGGTTAAGGGTTCGAACTACTATAAAATTCACTTTTTTTATTTTTATGTTTCTTTCCAGTGATTATATTTTTGCACGCACACATATAGTTGTGTATTATCTTTCTTTCTTTCTCTTTCACATACACACACACACACACACACACACACGCGTACACTGATTATTTAGCTATCTCCTTTTTTTTGTTTACCCACAGACCATTCCATATTCTCCGAATTGATTGTTTAAAAACGAAAAAAATGTTCTCGCTTTAGTCTGTTGCTGTTCTATGTTAGAATTTGCTCGTTTTGTTCGTGTTTGTATCTTCGTTCTACAACAACAGCGGCAGCAGCAAATTTCTCGTTTTTATCTTGTTATACCTTTCTCAAATCTTAAAAATATTCATCGTCTCTGGTTTTTTTCTTTCTTCATTTTCTGTCTTTATTATATTCTGTCAAAGAGGAAATAAATGTTTCGAAAGCAATATATTATAAAAATACAAGACAAATTCAAGAACTTTTTGGAATAGTTCGTTTTTGTGCTGTAATGAAATCAATATCATAGGTTTAAATCTCGTGGTATGATGAACGGGTTAAGTTTTACCTTGCACGATGTTTTTTGTCACTATGTTGAATCAAACAGTTCTTATAGAAGTAGCCATTTGGCAGATCATATCTTATGCAATCAAATTCGACAGTTTTCTTTAGTTATCAAATCTCTGAATCAAATTGAAAAGGCACAACCATCACACCGACAAGTATCAGTCATTTATAGCTGACGACTTACTCTCAATCAAATTTTATCTTTTTTATGATATTTTTCTTGGGATAATTTAACATACAGACTAATTTCTATGTTTATCTCATGATCGTGTCATTTCGTTGTTTTTATTTGACTTAGGTTATTCTTTTTGTATTTGTGGGTTTTTTGTTTCTTCTTTCTCTACTACACCAAATGACAATCGAATCAAATAGCACAACTTGTTCGGCGGATATTTATTCTGACTATGCTGAAAAAAATCAAACGGATTTTTCTAAAAAACTACTTCATTCACTTAACGTCATTAATGAATGTTTAAATCGTTATGATCCATCTCAAATTGTTGTTGGTTTCAATGGTGGTAAAGATTGTACGCTTGTATTAAATTTATACTTAAATGTATTAGAGCGACGGTACTCTTTACCATCTACTATTCCCAAACTCTGTGCTTTATTTATTTGAAATCATCAACAATTTGAAGTTGTTGAATCATTTGTTAACGATTACGTTCAAAAACATAATATTGAACTGATAATAATTTATGGACAAGTTAAAGATGCTTTAGTTAAATTAAAAATAATTGATCCACAAATTCAATGTGTTATTATGGGATCTAGAAAAACTGATCCTTATTCATCGAAATTAGATGATTTTTCATCAACAGAATCTGACTGACCATCGTATATGAGATGTAATCCAATATTACATTATACATACAACGATGTCTGGAAATTTTTAAGACATTTTCAAATTAATTATTGTACAATGTACGATCAAGGTTTTACATCATTGGGTGATAAAGATCTGACAATTAAAAATATTAAATTAAAATATCAAACAGAAAATGGATTAGAACAATATAAACCAGCCTATATGCTTGATGATGAAGTGAGTAAAGGAGATGGAAGAATTAATCGTTTCAATCCTCTTTAACTTTTTAAATTTATTTAATTTTTAATTTAACGATTAAAAATTTTGAAATAAATATAATTTTATAATGAATAGAAAAAGAGCTGAAGTGTATGATTATTATCTAAGAGGGATACATGATTAAAATTCTAGTGGATATCTCAAAACATTATAATTATTTATAATTTTTCGATTTGATCTGAAATATTTGCATACGCTAGAGACGATGTAAAGAAAACACTGATCGATCTTCCATGTTTTTAGTTTTGATCTGATAATTTCAAAATGGTGCAGAAGGTTATCAAATATACGTACAATTAGAATCTACTCTTATAAAAGTAATTTGTTTTATTATATTCTACATTCATATAAACACACGCAAAAACAAAACAAAAAAAAGAAGAGTCAGAGATTTCGAAAGAGGAACGATCTTTTCTCTTATGAAAATAGCGAAGGAAAATTTTTACATCCGATTTTTAACGATAATCGGTAATATCTTGTTTTCTTCATTCATTGCAGTACCTTTGGATGATGACGGTGGGGAAATGGACATTTTCACTTTTCGATGAATAACCATTAACGTTAGTAGCAATGGTAAATGTATTAGACTATAACGAAAAAGTCTTCTTGACGATTGACTATCTTGTTTCTTATAAAAGTCATAGGATAAATAAATTAGATAAAGATTAATGGGTAATGTATCAAATGCAAATAGCCATGTTGTCATATCAATATATGGTGTTAATAAAGAACAACATAATGTAATCATAATAGAATAACGTAATGATGTAATAAGACATAAACGTTCATGTGATACACACATCATTTTATAACCAGCACGACCGTATTCAGTACGAATATTCCAACTTAATGAATTAAAATGAGGAAATTGCCAAGCATATAGTAAATAAGCCAATACTAATGCACCTAGAACAAAATAAAAACAATAAAATAAGATGGTAGTATAAAGTCATCTAGAAGTTGTTACTTAAGTAAAAATATATACAATTATCATAGCATCATCGAAAATAGGCGCATTTCGGACAAAACAATAAACAGTCTGATCTAACTTGTTTTTTTCATAAAATTTAACTAATCAGAAGAGTAAACTAAAGACTCAAAATTCAAAACGTTTTCAAGATATGAGATTAAAAATCCCTGATTTAGGGAGTTGACACAGAAGTAGACTGACCTAGTTTTTGACTCCTATCTAGAATAGAAAATATGATATATACATACCAGAATCAATTGTTCCTGTAGAAGCTACCCATCCCATCACAGGTGGTATAGCACCTACAATTGAGCCTAAAATAAAAGAAGCATCGAATACATATCCGGATAAACATTTATCTTTCTCAAATCAAAGCAAATTCTAGAAGATAGCTGATTGTTACATAACATACCTAACCAGGTATTAACAATATGTATTCGTTTCATCGGCGTATATACAGTCGTATATAACAAAAAATTGATTAATCCTAATAAACCCGTTAATGTGTTACAACCAAATGTCAGTAAACCCACTCCAGAAATAAGGCTGACAGCAGCAAAACCCACTGCATGTTTATAACTAAAATGGAAGAAGTAATCATGTTCATGATGTTCAAGTTAATAGAAATGTCATGATTTGTACCTCACTTGTCCTAATACAAGTACACGGTTTTTAGTACGTTTCATTTGTGCATCGTATGGTATTTCTAACAGCTAAGAAAAATAAGAAAATATGATCGTGTTTGCTCGTTTAATTACTATTATTCTAACTTATATGAACTCACTTGATTTACGGTATTAGCTGATGCTGATGTCAAAACTGTTCCAACTGTTGCACATACTAACAATGGAATACTGATGGGTAATGGAGCAACAATAAAGCCATAAGCAGTTGTCGATGCCACAAGAACTGCGAATTGAAAAAAAACATATGTCTTAGATTAAGATCATACCTTCCGCATGAAAAACTACATCTGTAACACTTTTCTCATTAATGAAATGGCTGAGACATCATCTTTTACTAATTTTTGAAGAATTTTTAACTTTGAGATTTAAAAGGATGAGTTATTTTATTGTTTTTTTTACTTACTTGTCAAATTTTTTTTCCCTAAACGTGTATAATAATCGAGAAGTTTCCCAAGCGATAGTTTTTCTCCAGGCTTTAAATCTGGCTCTAATATGGCAATATACTGTGGATTTTCTTTAATGGTGCTGTCATTCTTCAACGGTGGATCACAAAATGGTTGATCATGACTTGATGATGTATCGATTATACTATTGTTTGCTTTTTCGTTAATGATGCTAGCATCGAGAACGTTTTTTACTTTAGATACTTTCGAAGTTTCTTTAATAATGTCGTCCTGTACAATTATTTCATCCCATTGCGTCGATGGCCTCCTGTCATCTATTATATTTTTTCGTTGTGGTTTTGGTAGTGATGAATATGTACGACATGTAGAAATCTTAAAAAAATACATAAACATATGAAGAATAAATTAAATCGTTGACGAAAAACTAGACAAAATGTATTTTATAGCAGTTTTTCATTTGATCAATTTTTTTCTTTCAAAACTACTTACTGTTTTGGTATAGTTGACTAAATAATAATATTGATCAAGAATTATCGAGGGAGATGAATGATTCGTTAATAGTGATCGCACATTGGTTTTTTTGAATACTGAGTAAAGCAGCCTATTCATTACCGGTTTGAACTTTCTACGTAAGAATAAACTGTTCTCCACCGATTTAATATACACATCTAAAACGGAGAGATAGAGCAATATTTAGTGTAAAGACTGATATATGTTGGGCGAAACCAATAAGTCTCAGTATAAAAAATAAACATAAATGAAGACAAAATTTATTCTTTTCTCTTTTTTTTTATATACTACAAAAAACAACAACAACAGTAATACCACTGACTGCTTCAAAAAAACACTCAAAATCGTCGTAAAACATCAGAAAAGCGTTAATTACCTTAAAATCATCTGTTGTTCCTGTTTGTCTTTAGTAATGTTGTTTTTGTGCGATTTAGACGCACTTTTGAATTAATTTAACGACTTCTCGATTTTGATCGTATTTTTCTTTCATCCTTAATCAGAATTGTCAGCTTTTCGACTATGTGTATTTACACTAGCGAACGTATTGTTCGTAAACTTTTTTTTGTATAATGAAGCCAGTACTTGCCTTCTTTTTACAAGTTTATAAATGATTAATTTTTTCCTTAGAAGTCAGAATATGAGAAGATGACGTTTAAACACAGAAAAATAGATTTACTACACAAATAAATTTTCGTAAACAAAGCTATGATATTCAGGTCAATAGATCATTGCAAACGGTTCCAACTTGTTTTTTCTAAGTGCCTACCCTATAAAAAAAGACTGCCTGGAAGCAGAACTTGCGAGAAAGCCTGACCACAACAGGCAACAATCTACGGGCAGGCTTGTGCAGGTGTGTAGGAAGCATTGTGAAAGATCTGAGCACCACTCTGTCGCATACCACTGGGGCATTCAGGGGCAGGCAGTCTTTTTTATAGGATACTAATGCGTCGAGCCTATTTTTAGGACAGCAAAGACTGTTTATAAGTAATGAATAACCAAAAATTGTGTAGTGAGACCAAAAAAGTAAGATACGGTTGTTACAAAATAAAATAAGAGGATATTTCCTATACAATAGTGTATGAAGAGAATGTACAAGGCCACTGTTTAAAAAAATTTGTTTTCTTATAATTTGTCGACTGTTCTTACCTGAATTTTTCCCAATGCAACCAGATATTGCAAACTTGAAGAAGTACTTTTAAAGTGCACAGCAAATCTGAAGTTTTGATAATACTTGCCAATTTTTTTAAAATACTCATCAAGTAATGAAGTATATTCACTAGGACACTCTGTTTCATTAGTCCTCCTTCTATGGGCATATTTCTTGCATTAAAGAGATCAAGTCATGGGAGACATAAAGTTTTGGAGTAAGCGCTATAATTAACATGAAACATTCAAGAATTGAGCTAATTGTAGAGTTAAATATCTAACTTTTTATCTCACGTCTAACAATATAATATAATTTAATTTGACTAAGTCGTACCGAAGTGAAGTGAGTTGATATAATTTAGCGAGAAATTCTGGCACGATTCCTTCTTGCTAAATCGTAGTTAGAATTTACCTGCCAAAAATGGCCGCCAATAGAAATTTTTTTTTCTTCTTTCCTTCCATCGAAACGAAAGAGACACGTGTGGTATATGCAAAAAATAATGATTCTGTTACGTTTAATTTTTCTTTCTTTTCGTTAATGCAACGTAAAACAGAGAAAATATTTACGTCCTCCACCCGCGCTGCTATTGGTTAGAGTTGCCATATTGAGTCTTTTGCTCATTTTTTCTCTTGGCAGCTAGTTTTAACCAATACCGCAGTTATATCTATTAGGAGGTAATTACGTCGTTAAATTATCTTTCAGCCAATGAAATAATTTATAAATCTGATTGCTTCCTGTTTCTATCTAATTATGAGAGGTGTAAAAAGTGCAGTTTTATCGAAGCTAACAGTTTCGTACAATGTATGCACTTGAAAAACGTCTTGGAGAAGTATCTGAGTGAATTGTATATCCCACAAGATTTCTCAATCATTTTAAAATTTAAAGCGACGACATCTAGACTTTTATTGGTCACTAATGCCAATATTAAAAGCGCTTTTTTAAAATAAACATCTTTTTGCTTCAGTTGAGCACAAAATAATTCAAAAATGTTACTTTTTTTCACTGTGAGATCATACTGTGATACCTTCACTAGATAGTTATGCACTTACAGTAAATCGCACCACTGGAAAAGTTGACAGGGTTGCCAACTCAAAAGCTAAGAAATCAGGAAAAATCAGAAAAGTAAAGTGTCAAAAATCAGAAGACGTATCTTTTTGCCCAAAACAGAGGAGAAACGGTTACATCTTAATTTTGTTTAAAACTGATCCTCATCCGCTTCTTTTTTTTATGAAATCTTGATGTTTCACAGTTTTAACATGTTTATCCAAATCACTTTTTTCTCCAGCACGAACGGAAATGTCCCTGTTACAAGCTGAACATCTTGTTTTAGTTTCATCATGATTAACTACTAGTCAAAATTCTGAATATTTTGGATGTCTCAACCAATCTTTGTTAAAAACGTCTTTTTGTTTTTTTACTCCATTTTTATTTTCTTTGTTTTCAAACGAACCTAAGAGGGCTTTAGCACGCACAACGTCAGTTGACAATTCCAGCACATTTAAGAAACGGGCTAATCTAAAACGTGTTGTTTGTATTCCAAATTGTTCGTTTGCAAACTTATTACCAACAACCCTCTCATTCGTGAAGATAATAGTCGAGCCGTATCAAATAAGAGATATCTTCTTTGCTTTTCTGTCCTGCACATGCCTCACATTTCTCGTTCATTTCTGACCAGGGATGTGCAGTAACCGGTAAATCCATTTACCGTTACCGCGGTAACAGTAAAAATATTTAAATTTAATACGGTAAAAATTTTTTTACCGTTACCATGATAAACTCGCTTTCAGTAAATTCATCTTACCGTTACCGCGGTAAATTTCATACGGTAAGAACTCTTTTACCGTTACCGATTTTTTGTCTCGGTAAAAGAACTATTACCGTTGATTTTTCCGGTAAATTTTGTTTACCGTTGTCTCGTTTCAATAAATGTTGTTTGCTTCAGAACGGACCGTGTATTATATAATCGACCTAGATGTAGGGAGTTAGCGGAAATACAGATTTTGATTTTCTTAATTAAGGAGAAGATAAAATATGTCTAAAAACTACCTATATCGTATTTGAATGACTAATGTTTGTGTTTCTAAATGTTCTTCAGACAAATGAATAAAAGTAATCTGAGTCATGAACAACAGTTCAAATTTCGACGCTACATATTCTTTTTCTATTCTAAAATATCGTCTATTAGAATTAATTAAAGTTTGTCTTTCAGGAACATACTATAGCTAAACCCATTAGCTTTGAGATTAACACGATTCTGCATTAATCGTCCAGATATACTAAACGCTCACCCTCACCTAAACGCAGAATGCATGAATTTATATCACCGCATGGTCAGAATTAGAAGGGAATAAAGAAATAAAAACAAAATAAAAGACATAAGTTCGAAATTCGGTAAAAAAGACTCTGCCGGAGAAAAAGTCGGTAAAAAGTATTTACCGGACCGTCGGTAAAAATTTTTTTATCGTTACCGCGGTAAGCTCGTTTTTCGGTAAAGTCATCTTATCGTTACCGCGGTAAAAAGGTTTTTACCGTTACCGACGGTAAATTACCGGTTACCGCACATCCTTATTTCTGACACAACAAAAAAAAGAAACAGAACGAACTGTGGGGTCAGAAATGAACGAGAAATATGAGGCATGTGCAGGACAGAAAAGCAAAGAAGGTATCTCTTATTTGATACGGCTCTAATGTTATGACTGGACTCGAGCATATCCCATTAAACCAATAACTCAAGTAGTGTAGACATACATGGAAATATTACGTCAGCCTTTTCCCCAGAAACCACCTTCTCCAGCATTAATTAAAAAAGTTAAAAATCAGAAAATCAGAAAGCGATCAGAAAAAACCTCCAAAATCAGAAAAATTCTGACAAATCAGAAGAGTTGGCAACCTTGAGTTCAACTATCTTTCTTGACCTTAGTGATAAAATAAGTCAACATATGTCCACACTATCGAATGGTCTTAATTGAGCCCTCGTGTGAAGTACTCAAGTGCATCACTAAAACGTGACGTTGGAAAAATGACTTTTGACAAATATTATCCACTTTTCTGTATTATACATTCAGAAAATGGATCCGTTTTCTTTGTTTACATCACCCACTTTATCAGATCCGAACTGTTATGCTACTGAGGTCAGTCGTCCACTCTTATAGGTGACACTATTAACAAAAGCGGATGACCAGTCAGCAGTTCTCTATGTGCTAAAGCGGGTAATATCATCCACTTTAGCAGATGTTTATTACACATGTGGGTAATAGAAAACCAAAAATTCATCCGCTTTTGTGAATATACAATATAGAAAAGTGGATA